TGTGTCCGCGGGAATTCCACTGTGCCACCTCTAGCGACCCCCGGTGCTCTGATTTCCCTTCCCCCGACCATACCTACTACTTCATCCACCCGGGACTCGTCGTCATCACCACCAGTTTCCCTCCTTTTCGCCTTCTTCTCCGATATCATCAACTTAGCGTCGTTCCGTGGCCGGCCATAGCCCCCTATTGGCCCAGCACGCCCTGCGGAAATTGCCGACTTAGCGGCGAACGGAGAACCCCTGAATTCCGAAGGCCCAACCCAAACAGGCAGCGGCCCGCGCCACGTGGCGGCCCCCGACGGCCCAACTTTTTGGGACCGCCTCCTCCGCGGAGGGAGTTCCCCGTAAACCGTCGCCCAGAGTACCCCGGCCCCATCGGGCCTTGAGTCTCTTGCGCCCGTGCCCCTTCTTCGCCTAATTGCATTCATACCCTTAAGACTCCCCCACTTTCCCAAAAATCCTTGGCACACCCCTTTTCGCACTTCCAGGCCCACACCCCACTCCGATCAGGAAGTCGCGCTGGGCGTGAGGTTGGGCGTCACATAGGTCCTTCTCTTAGAATGGCAGTTCACAGTGGGAGATCAGTGACAGATCATCTACGAGCTAAGTAATCAAAACCCCTATCAGGCGCCCTGTGTGGGTGAGAGGCTATGTATGCAGTACGCTGAACTGTCGTCCAGCAAGTGCAGCTCCCCACGAATATCGGACCCATCTGAGTCGCAGGTTTGCAACCTGGGAAGTTCTCCAACGGCTCCCCGGATTGCAATTTCTCAGATGTTCTTTCAAAAAAAAAAAGCATTTTGTCCCCCTGGAGCCGGGACCCACTAGCATCGAGTAAATCGGTGGTGGCCGTTTCTTTTTAAAAAAAACATATAAAGACTCCTTCTGTGATTTTCAGAAATGCAAAGAAAACAAGGCCAACGCTATGCATCCACACTTCCACCAACCTGGTACATCTGCATGGGACCTTCGCGCCGGCCTGTTCCCAGTCTTCCACGGAAATCTCAATGTTCTCAATTTCTGCCAAAAAAAATAGCAAAGCGCAAAGCTTCAAAAACATCCCCCCCCCCAAAAAAAAAACATAGTATTGAAGCTTCGCGTCAACGCAAAGTGCCTCCTGTCAATCAATTTCTCAAGGATTCGAACTCCGGTGTGTTACTTGTCAGTTCAATCTATGTAATATTCAGCCACATTGGAAGGATCTGTTTGGACCCCCTCTCCAGCTCTTTCCACCTAAACAAAAGGGCGCTGCTAATTACTACAAGTATTTTTTTTGGAAAGGACGCCGGACGTTGTTTCCAGTCAGTTGTTCTATCTCTTCTTCTGAGGACACTGGAAAAAAAAAAAAAAAAAAAAAAAAAAAAAAAAAAAAAAAGAAAGAAAGAGAGAGTAGGTATAGCATCTGCACTCGTACAACCTACCACCACCGAAATGAAAAGTCTGGTGGCAGAGCCAAAATTGTTGATGTGGTATAAACAACGCAGTGAAGTAGAGTGCATGGGGGAATGTTGGGTACATCACACTAGGTGGACCCTCTGACGTGGGCTGATGATGCCTCGTTCAGAGGTCTCACCGTTCTCTTTTGTGAGGGACGCCGGGCCCGGTTCTCGGCTTTGTATAATAAACAATTGTAACTGAAAAAAAATGAAAAAAATTCCACACGCAGCAGAAATCTACGTCAAGGGCAGATGTTCACACAGTGATTTCCACAGACCGATTACACTACGTAGAGCTGCAAGTTGTTGAGTCAAGGAGTAGCCTTCCAATAGGAATTGGGACTGGATAGAGGTGAGTCCCGCAGGCACTTGCCTGTAAGCTAAGCTGGCTGATGCTGTCAGATATCCCGGGGCAAGGTCCCACTAGCAGCGTTGAGCTACCTCAACGCCTGAATCTGGACGTGTTTGTGGAGATGTGCAGTTCAGGAAACTCAACACCATTTCTGCACGTCTCGGCAAAAGCGTCCGGATTCAGGCGTTGAGGTAGCTCAACGCTGCTAGTGGGACTTGGCCCCCGGGTTGAATTGTGAGGTCCCCGACCTCTCCTTGGTATTATAACGAATTGGAGTGTGTTGCTATTAAAAAAAAAAAAAAAAAAAAAAAATCTATGTCAAGGAAAAGAGGCTCGGAGGCACTGGCAGTTGAGAGGGGGACAGCCGTTCATAATAGAGCTGATCAGCCCAAGGTGATGGAGAGTCTCTATTACTGGTGCGATTTTTCCGGCATTCAGGATTCGAAGTCAGGTTTCCTTCTCGTCAGTTCACTGACATAACAATCAGGCACATTGGCAGAATCTGCACCCCCTCTGACCAGTTTTTTTTTTTTTTTTTTTTTGCCCAAATCGTGCCCTCTCACCAGTTCAGACAAGGTAGCGTTATCTAGGCAGAAAAGAGGAAAAATTGAACCTATGCAGACCACACCTACTAC